AGCACGCGCAATCAGTGCCACAAGCCAACACACCGGACTCAACCAAACAACCACACCACCAGCAGCGACGGAGAATCGATGCACCCGAACGCAATCCACCAACTGCTACAACCAGCACAACCCCATCCGGATCGTCTCGTCGCACCGTGAAGCGAGTCTCGGACGTCGGCAGCGACCCCTCGGCGCCGTCCAGAGCCGACTCGCAAATGCGTCCGGCCGTCTCGCTCGAAGRCAACCCTCGCGACGGGACTGCGGCCGTGAGCGGGGGCGGGAGCGTGGACCCGAACGAGAASGGCAGCACGCACCCCAGCGACGGGGACGCTGMRGYGGTGGTCGTCGGGTCCGAAACGGCCCTGGACTGGCTCCTCCGCTCCCGCGGGGGGGACTCCCCGGGCTCCCGCAAGCGCCGCCGGAGCAACGCATCSCCGCCGACCGACGTCCACACCGCCCCCGACGCGGCCACGGCGGCCCTGCGATTCCTGCGCTTCGGAAACAGCGGGATCGCCCCGATCGATGCGGCGTGGCAGCAGCAGCAGCAGCAGCAGCGGACCGACCGAAGCAGGCGTCCCCTCCCCCCGGTCGTCGTCCTGGAGGGACCCAGGGACGTGGGAAAGACGTGGATGCTGCTGACGCTGGCCGCGCGATTCGTGGTGGCGACCAGGGCCTCCCGGTTCGGAGGCTWTGGAAGCCGCGGCRGAAAAGCCMMACCGGGCGGRACGGGGACGGCGAACGAGAGGCGGGGAGGAGTCCACAAGGACAGCAATAACAGCAACACCGGTAACACTAACAACACTAGCAACACTAGCAACACCGGCAACACCACCACTAGCAATCGCGGTGGAAACAAAGACAGCAGAAATAATAGCGAGGGACCCAAGGTCTTGTTGCTGGATTCCACCTACGATTTCTCCGTGTCTCAATTGGTAAGCGTCCTTCGGTCGACCCTGCGRAGAGARCGCGAAAAGGATCGAGCTCGGAGAAGCGTGCACCCGCAACGAAGAGGCCAGCAACACACCGAGGCTACCAACGGCAAGGCTGGCGGGGACGATCGGGAGAGAGGGGGACGGAAACCTGGGGAACAGCAGCAGCAAAAACAACAGCAACGGCAACAGCAACAGCAACAGCAACAGCAACAGCAACAGCAACAGCAACAGCAACAGCAACAGCAAAAACAACAGCAACGGCAACGGCAACATCAACAACAGCACTATGTGCAGTCCGGGAGCCGGCAGGGGAAACTCGATCAAGAACCGAAACGACACGAATTAGAACTGCCATTGCTGGAATCAGACATGGAAGACTGCCTGAGCCGGATCCACATCATACAGGTAGACGGATCGAATGGATGGGTTCCCACCCTCGAAGCGCTGACACACCGATTGTCCGAGGAACGACGCCACGGGCGGACGAACGGGGACCACCACCGCGGGGACACCGGATCTTCTCCCTTCGGCACGCCGACCCTTCTTCTCTGGGACGGCTTTCTCTCCGACGTGGTCGTCACGGATTCGAGCARCGCATTGTCCATGGGMGGAAGCGGCATCGACGGCCACAGCAACCCCCACGCCMTCTTCGACAGCCCGGTGTCCCGAGAAATCCTGAGGCAGGTCTCGAGGCTCCTGGAAGAAGAACGCGACGCGCTGTGGTGCGTCTTGACGGCGAGGACCAAGCCGGCCCTTGCCGGGGCGGCGCAGGGTCCCCCCCGCAACCCKGCCGGTCATGGGCAAGGCGGGCCGCCGCTCCCCCCGAACAAGTACGGGTCYGGGCCCGTTCCGAACACCGGAATCGGGGTCCGGGTGGCGGAGTGGATCCGAAAGGAAGGGGAACGCCGGGAATCGCAAGCGCGGCGGCCCCCGGGATCCGGGAACCYKGGGCCGCCGTTGCCTCCAAATTCGCAGCGGAGGGAGGCGCACCGGGTCCTGCTGGAACGCCGCCCCGGCAGGCATCCCGCAACGGGCGGGGAGGGCCTCCCGCGCAGCGCCGCGGCGGCGGCGGCCCTCTRTGCCCGGATCGCCGGCGGCGGGGCCGGGCGTCACGGCCACGGCGACCCGACGATTCCGTATTCTCTGTCCCTGGGAGGCATATTGTCGTGAGAACCCCAACGGCATTTTGGAGCYCTTGTGCCGGAACGCGCTGCAAATGAATGTTCCAAGAGTGCCGATTTTCCAGTCAGGATGGGCAAGAACGCACGGTAGCCCTTTGTGAATTACCGATCATGCCATTGTAGTTTTGATTCAAACTAGAGGTAGAAAAAAAATACTACTACTAAAAGTTAATGATCGAAAAACGGTTGATTTTATTTTTCACCAAATTTTTCAAAATGGGGAAATAATTTAAGGGGGATAAAATTCCCGAAAGAATCTCKTTCACAAAACAAAATGTATCCGTTGAGGGAAAACGAGATGCGTTGATTTCGAGTTGGCACAACCACAGATTGAGTCTCACGTTTGAGAGTTCCTTATTGTTTTATGTCTTACACGATAGACGAAAAAATTAACCTTTCGTGCGGGTGAATCAAGTCGAGTCCGTGCAACAAGGTGCGCGGCCGTGTGAAAGACGAGGCAACTCGAGACAGAAAAAGATCCAACACGAAASAAACCATCATCTGCTGCGGGTTTTCGAAGCGTGCCGAATTGTACGTCCCTGGTACGAGCCCTACGTACTGTATTGTACGGTTCGTGGCACTCACTCACGGCGCGGGTCATTAATCTTCCCGTCGATTACGTAATACGGCAATCCATACCGCACGGTACGAGGACAATACCTTGMTTCTGCCCAGCATCATCTCCCGGTAGGCCTTTGTTGTTTTCAACWCCATTCGCAAATTACCAATAGCGCAAACAAGTGGAACGAGTTAWCAAGAGGAGATACCTTGWCGTTGTCATCGTCTTCCTATTTCAATCCATTGCAATAGCCGATTTCGCGATTTTCGAGCACCCTGCCACATTCGAACGCTTTGTCATTCGACGAGACCCAGGTTTTTTTYCCCATTCCAACACACAGACCAGTTGCAACAAATACCGCAATCATGAGCAATCCTTTCGACCAATTCGCGGTGGATGTCCAAGCTGCACTGCCCTCTGCTGCTCCCGGGGCTCCTCCGGCCGGTGATCCCGGAAATCCTTTCGCATCGGTATTTGCCGACGCCCCCGCCCCGGCYCCCGCTCCCACCGAAAGCAAGCCGGTCATGAATACCTTCCAGCCACCACCACAACAACCACCGATGGGGGGAATGATGATGGGACAACCCCCAATGATGGGTGGCATGAATGGCTTTGGAGCCCCTCCACAGCAACAGGCGCCTCCGCCAATGGGTTCCATGATGGCTCCCGATCCACAGGCCAATCCCATGGGCATGTACGGCCAACCGCCTGCCGCTCCTCCCCAGCAGCAACCGCCCGCTGCCAGCTTTGGGGCTCCCGCTCCTCCGGCACCCGCCGCAGCGGCCGACCCGTTCGCCGCATACGGGGCACCGCCGCCGGCCCAGGCTCCCGGAATGCCTACCGCTGCTCCTCCCCTGCCCCCGGCATCTCCCAACCCCTACGGGGCCCCTCCTCCCGCCGCTCCCATGGGAATGCCCYCGACCGTTCCTCCCAGCCCGACTCCCAATCCGTACGGGGCCCCACCTCCGATGATGCCRGCTGCCCCCCCACCGGCCCAGTCGCCCAACCCCTACGGTGGACCACCCCCCGCCGCGAGCGATCCCTTTGGCGCCGCTCCCGCCGCGCCCGGGAAACCCTTCGGGGACCTTTCCGCTCCTCCTGCCGGGATGCCCCCGCAGCAGCCACCGCAACAGCCCCCGCAGCAACCGCAGTACGGTGATCCCTTTGGTGCMCCGCAGCAACCACCGCCTCCGGCGGATCCGGGAATGGGAGCACTGGTCCTTTCGAACCAACAGAGCAATCCGTACGCCCAAGCGCTCCCCCCGCAACAGCAACAACAAGCGATGTACCCTCCGCAGCAGCAGCAGCAGATGGTACCGGCACCGGCCGCCGATCCTTTTTCGGTGTTCGAGAGCGCACCGGCACCGCCCCCGGCGGCCCCGGTCCCACCTCCTGCCGCCAGCAACGCGCTGGTTCCGGCCCAGGGCCCGGCGCCGGCCCCGTCCGATGGCGATTTGTGGGGCGACATGGGCTTCGATGCACCGACTCCCCAAGCCGCCCCCGCCCACCAAGAGGAGAAAAAAGAGGGCGACCTCCCCGCCGGTGGAGAATACTACGAYGCCCGTATTTTTACTCCCACGCTCGGTGTCATGTTCTTCAAGCCACAGGAACTCACCGATTCGCTCTTTTTGAACACGGACAGGAGCATCGTCGATGGCTTGGCCGAACGCCCCGTTGTAGCCTTTATCGTGGAAGGCTCCTCGGCTCGATCTGCCGGTGTCGAGTTGGGACACGTTCTCTTGAAGGTGAACGGGGTCGACGTGAAAAATCCGAAGGAGGCTTCCCGGCTCATCAAGGAGGGACCCCGCCCCTTGCCTCTCTTGTTTTACGTCCCCAACACGGACGTTGTCGTCGCCGAAGGAGAGCACATGGTCAAATACGACACAAAGGAAACAACGGCGCCCAACTCTTCCAAGGACTGGAAACCAAAGTACGTTGTCATTGGKGGAATCATTGCCCAACCGTGGATGATGAACATGTACCGAAGCAAATCCGAGTACGACATTGCCGTCATTGAGACCCAGGCCAGGCGTCCCGTGAGCGTCAAGGTCAAGCAGTTCTCCCTACAGGGGGCTCGGATCCAAAACGACTGGCAGGGACCGCAAATGGTCAAGTACAAGAACAAGCTGCACCCCTGGAAGTACATTGTGGTGTTGCCGGTGGCCCGCAATCCCATCAAGATTTCGTCGCCCAACCTCGCCCAGCTGAAACCCGTCCACGAAGGAATTCGGCGGGTGCTCCTGGCGCAGCAGCGTTCCGGCGGTCGCAGCAGCGGCGGACGCCCCGGCCGTCCGGCCAACAGCAGCCGAAACAACAGCTCGAGTCAACGCCACGATTCGTACAACCAGCGTCCTCCCCCCCAACGGCAGCAGCAGCAGCAGCAGCAGCAGCAGCAGCAGCAGCAGCAGCAGCAGCAGCAGTACCCACCCCAGCAGCAATACCCGCCCCAGCAGCAATACCCGCCCCAGCAGCAATATCCTCCCCAGCAGCAATACCCACCCCAGCAGCAATATCCTCCTCAGCAGCAATATCCTCCCCAGCAACAACCGCAAGCCGGAGGATATCCCGGATACGGATACTAAACAAAGGAACACTGCGGTTGGCATCGAGAGCACGGACTCCATACACGAGAGCGCGAATTTTCACTGCAGGGAACCATTTTCTTTTGCCACCATTCGGTGCTTGTCGTCTGTTCCTTGCTTTCGTAGTTTTGCCACACAGCAACACACCACGCCAAACGGCACGGCACGTCACTCACTCACTCACACCTACAGCGTCGACTCTATCGGATTATGTCGCGTTGCACACTATTTATTTTCTCGCACTGCATACAAATCTTGCATCATATATTTCTAGTTGGTAGTAGCTATCGCCTACTGTATCCTCGCGGTAACCATAAAAAAGTAAATTAAAGAATATRTTGATGCAGATTCCCACGCTCTACTATAGATAGTAACTATTGAAGCAAGGGAAGAGGAGTTAAATTTTGAAGAACACTGAAAGCTACTCCTCCATCGCACTATTCCGTAATTGGAACAAATGGTTCAARTAAGATTTCTACTAAACTACTCCATCTGTTTGGAAAGCACATCATCATCTCTCAAAAAGAAAACTTTCTGAAAGTACCTCGTGTCTACCAGACGTATGAACGATGCGTACTACCGTACGTACGTACCGGTAGGCAGGGGTGCCGAGTGCCGGGAGCAGTTAGGATGGGAGAAGGACAGGAAACAAAATTCGATTACGAGTACGATTACGTACGTACCGTACCCGGTATGGTACAGTTGGTAGGGTACGAGTACTCTAACGCACGTACATAACTGTACACAAAAAACCTACTCACGGACCCGTAGAAGACGAATAACCGTCGGTAACGGTTCTGTTCGAAGAAGCGGAAAACCGAAACTGGAAACTCCTCACAATTTCCAAAATAATTCGTACATTCAAGACCATACTGTAACTCAAAAACCTACAGTTGCAATACCGGACAAGCTCCTTCTTGCTTYCCTCGAGKCTATGATTGCTTCCACAATCGCGAGACAACAAGCTAAGYAGTTCCTGTCCCCAACCAGACGAACTCTATCGTACCTTGCACTCGAAACAGAAAAAGGTCACCGGTCACACCTCGCAAAAGAAACCATCATGTACGGCAAGCACCAGCGATATCGTTGTGGTTCTCACGAACAGCTTCGCAATCGATTCCGCGTCCAAGATTGCGGAATCTACAGCAAAGGATTCGACCCCCGCATCTTGTCCAACGACACTTTCAAGAGCAAGGACAAGGACAAGGACAAGGACAAGGACAACGACTCGTTGTGGGACGAAGACGACGCAATTCCGGAAAAAGCCGCCATGTATCGCCTCGACCCAAGCCGGAGCTTCCATCCGTCTTCTTCTCCCTCTTCCCAATCGGACAGCGAGAGCGACGAAGAGCAGCCGAACGATTACCTTTCCCAAGGGAATCGCAACAACGATAGCTATGGCCGCAAAGACCACCGGGGTGACGCATCTTTCTCGATTTCTTCCTCTGCTTCTTCGGACGAAGAAGATTCCACGGTTTCGGTCCGATCGGTAGTGGAAATYATCGAGGATTTTATCCTACAGACAGTGGTTGAGCCATTGTCTCGGGATCCGAATCCATCCGTACCGGAGATCAACGYCACCGTCGATGCCATTGGGTTCAAGCGCAAGCTGTCCCTGCATCATCTCACCCAGGCACGATCGCTGACCTCCATTCTCAAGGTGGCAGCCTTTTGCTACGACCTGCTGGCTCCCGAAGACAAAGAAGAACACGAAGACGGACACGAGCGTGACGCTGCGAACGGGAAGGGGGACGGTTGCCGGGTTYGGTACAGAACGCGAAAAACCACGACCACGCGAGAAGTCTATTACTTCTACGTGACCTATTTTCGAGACCAGAGAGAATGCGACAAGGCTATTTGGGACTTGGTGTGCATCCTTGGATTGCCCTCGAGGCAATCCCTGGGYCTGGTGGCATCGCCAAAGGGCTGGTTTTGCGGTTCGATCGATGTCTACAACGCCCGCACCGGCGAGCTCAGGTTCAACGGGAGGGATCTCGATGCGCACGGAATGGCCATTACTCCCTCGACCTACGACAGCTACTCCAGCGACTTCAATTTCAGCTACCTCTGCAAGGACGACAAGCRCGCCGACGATCCTCTCCCCATTCAAAGCGGTAGCGGCATTCGAATCGAAAGCGACGCAAAATGCATCCTGGTCATCGAGAAGGAAGGTGTGTACACCCGATTGTCCGAGGACAAATTCTTTTTAAGATACTTTCCTTGTATATTAGTTACCGGTAAGGGCTTTCCTGATGTGGCAACTCGTCGTTGGGTGAAGAGGATGCAAAAGACACTCAAAATACCGGTCTATGGATTGTGGTAAGTTGCTTTGGGTTGGGTTCGGTCGGTGCGGTATAAAGCAAGGAAGGTTTGTCATCGATTTGCTAGGTTTCTTAATCGTTTGCCTTTTTGTTTCCACAATCATTGGGCCAGTGACTGCAATCCTTTCGGAGTTTCGGTGTTGGATTCGTACCGGCACGACCAGGGAGTCAGACTCCACCGAAAAATCAAAAGTAGTTCCAMGCAAAGAAAAAGTAGGAGCAAGATCAGAATCGATGAACCGAGTGCAAGCGGGAGCGAAACCGAACACGATAAAACTCATGATTCCCCCGAGGCACTACATTGGATCGGCCTATTCCCTTCTCAGATCGAAACAATGGATCTTCCGCCYCAGGTGTTTCAGGAATTGACCAGCAACGACACGAAACGATTGGACTCCTTACTAGCGCCAAAGACACCGAACTCGGACTGCTTTGTTGACTTGGGTGGGAGAAACAGATCCAGGTGGATCCGTGAACTCAAAGCGATGCGTAAGTACAAGGTTGAGCTCGAAGCACTCCACTGGAAGGGGGCAGATTACCTATGTCAATTCGTATACAATGCGATGCTTTCCGAGTATGAGAGATTTCGATAGTGACAGAGACAGCCAAAACGAATCGACACATACATCTGGATCCTCAGGATGCTRTTACTTTAATCTTGCGAATAGCGATARAAAGCTTCAACAACAATCTAAACACGGGATACACATTGATACACAAGCAGAGATGAATCTCGCCCCTACACTCGTACTGGATACGTGAGAGCCATCTTAGTTCAGCAAAGCATATACTGGAACATTGAAGTCCTTGTATGTAGTTACACATGTTGCAGCCCCTTTCTATCTTCCACTGCCTTCGATAGATAAACATTAGTCGGGAATAATCTGATATGGSTTGTTGGCTTTTTGACAAATACTTTGAAAACAACTATATATATGGAACGCTGGCGAGGTTTGCAAACCGACAGTGTGCCTGCGGGATCTGCGCCAYAATTTCAATCAAAAACCGCCATTGCCAAATCACCCCACCACTCCTCGGGACGAAAAAAACGATGGCCACGTTCCAAGCCCTCGATTTCGACCATCTCGTCGTCTGACAGAACTATGCCGTCGGACGACGATCCAAAATTCTCTTGTTGGTGTGCCTCGGAGGCACTCTTAGCGACCACCGACGTCCCCCGTTGCAAAGCCCAGGCGAGGCAAACCTGTGCCACGGTGATTCCGTGATTGACAGCTATCTTTTGCAGCACTGGATCCTCCAATAGGGTTGGCTCGTCTTTTTCCTTGTACCCAGAAGTGCCAAGTGGGCTATAGGCCTGTACGTGGACTTTTCGTTTCTTGCAATAGGCCAATAGCTTGGATTGCTGCAGGTACGGGTGCATTTCTACCTGATTGACGGCCGGAAGWATCGTGTGGTTTCCCGCCATGAGCTCGTGCAGCAACGAGACGGGAAAATTCGACACACCGATGTGCCGAACCAGTCCCTCCTCGACGAGTTCTTCCATCGCCGACCACGTCTCGTGGACGGAAACACCCGGRTCAATGTTTTCGCCGTTGTTGGAGTCGTCGATGTACTGCGCTTCGCCGCCATAGCCCCGGATGCTTGGGTCTATTTCGACAAACTTGAAGGCCTGGGGCCAATGGATCAGATACAAATCCAAATAATCGAGACGCAGATCATTTAGGGTCTTTTGGAGACCAATTTTGACGTGTTCTTTTCGATGAAAGGGCGAGGCCAATTTCGAAACAATGAAGAGATCTTCCCTGAGTATGGCATCCTTCTTCYGCTCGTTGTCGATGATTCCCTCTTTCATCGATCCTAGTACGTTTTCCGCGAGAGCGTCACCAATCTTGTCTTCGTTAAAATAAACCGGGGCGCAATCGATCCTTCGGYAACCCAACCGAAGGGCAGAAGCAATGGAACTCGGTACCTGATCGGGTGTAATGTCCATCGTTCCCAAACCAATCGGAAACTCCGAAGGATGCGGATGGGCAGGAAGCTTGTTCATCCTCGTCGTTGTGCACGTGTCACTGTTGCTCTCGGAACACCTTACACCTGTCGTCATGAACGCAGCAGTCCCAGCTAGAAAGGTGGCACTACTGCTTGTGCTCGAAAACGAAGTTGATAATAACGACGCCGTCCGAAGAAAGCGATACTGGTAATATGATATGATGTTCGAAAAATGAAATGAAATTTACCGAAAGGAGACAAAAGGTTATTGATATTTGGATCTATCTCAATTCTAATGAAAGAAAAATGCTAACAACTGCACAGAMAAAGGTTCATGATCAAAATMGGATATGAAAACTACGCAAACTTTCTTGCTCGCACTCCGAATCAAGTATTTCCGCAACAGCACACTTCTTCTATGATCATACCATCAAGAAAACCAAAATAAGAGTTCCGATGTAGCTGGCTTTTCCAATTGACAACCACTTCTTCGYCATACAGACATGGACAAAGTTAGGAAATYCTCGATGATCCCAAGAATACTCAATTCTGATGGGAACCTTTTGGTAACTAAACCTCAAATTCCAATCGACGGTCAGAGTGTGAAGTAAGAAAACACGAAGAGAACACGGTGCGATCACGGTGTTTTGAATTTGTCATCAATTGTCGTCSATTTCAGAACGACTCAGCTCACAGATTTGTTTATTTTCGATGATTCGATGATTGATGATGAGAAAGATTTTTAAGACGAGAGTCGAATGAGTCGAGTTCATAAAAAGATTCCTAACAAGACCTTAATTAAACCACATAATCATGTCTGGTAAGTACATACATACGCTTAGTCCCCAAGTGAGGCAATATCCAATATCGGCAATATGCTGGCAATGACAAAGGTCAGACAGACAGATATGATCAAAATTATGCAGGTAGTACTCGTACGTCCCGTACGTACSCCACGCAATACATCGTACGGAAGCTCATGGAATTTATTTTGGCGCGCCGACYGCGATGAAGTGGATGGCGCGCCCCTGCACTCTCACGAGCAACAACAGCTTGAATGAACACGSCTGGCAACGTTCGGCTTTTTGAAAAAATACGTGAGTAAATCAAGCGATTTCCAACAAACTGCATGGCACACATTGTTCTCGCCGCCTCCGCTTGGAAAGGATTMAAAGTTGGCAATTCTTGACCGCATCACCTTCTTCTGCATCAGTTGAAACWTAGCTTTCTAAAATGACAGGGTCTTCTGACGCCAATACGGGTTCGGGCCCCGCAGCTGCAGCAGGGGCCTCGACGACAAAGGAAATCGCTGACGTCCTCGAAGAGCGATTGATTGATTCCGAATACAAGATTTGGAAAAAGAATACACCATATTTGTAAGGATTGAACTGCTTGACGAAGGTCAATGGGTTTTCCGTCTTGAGATTTGATTTTGTTTTTTTCTGACTCTCCATTTCTCTTATGATTCGATAAATGACACCGAAAGATACGACACGGTCRTGACGCATTCGCTTGAATGGCCATCATTGACCTGCCAATGGTTGCCTACCAGCAAAAAGCTCAACAAGGGTAACGATAGTAAAGGCGGGGGAGATGCATGTGAGCTCTCGCTCCTACTAGGAACCCACACAGACGGAGGGGAACAAAACTATCTCATGGTTGCAAACACCGTAGTTGCTACTTACGATCCGGTTGTAGCCGGCGTTGACGACGACGACAATGCCGTCCCTCCACAAGTAGCTTACGACGAAGAAAAAGGAGAGGTCGGTGGATTTGGGAATACCGTTGGCTTCGACAATGGTGGCAGCGGTACCAATGCAGGATTTACTATTGGAAAGGTTGACTATAAAATGAAGGTCCGATTTCCTGGCGAAATCAATAGAGCACGAGCTATGCCCCAAAACCATTTTATCGTGGCCGCTCGTGGACCTGATCCCAACATTTACATTATCGATCGRTCAAAACATCCACAGCGACCGGTCGAAGGTGGAAATTTTTCGCCACAAATTACGTGCACGGGGCATACTGCAGAAGGATACGCATTGGCTTGGTCCACACTGAAAGAGGGACATTTGGTGAGTGGTGGGGACGACAACGTGGTTTGCCTATKGGACGTCAACAAGGGAATTGCAAGCAACAGCAGTAGCATCACCGCAACGGCGACGTTTAAGGGCCATACAGCAACTGTGGAAGACGTCGATTGGCACGCGAAAGATCCCAACTTATTTGCGTCTGTATCGGATGACCGGTCTATTCGACTTTGGGACATTCGGGAAAAAAATAACCAACACATTGTTGAAAATGCACACACTGCTGATGTCAACGGTGTCGCCTTCAACCCGAAACTCGAATATACCCTTGCCACGGCGTCTTCGGACCACACAGTTGGTATCTGGGATATGCGAAATCTCAAAAACAAAGTCCACACATGTCAGGGGGGGCACACCGATGAAGTATACGTTGTCGAATGGGCCCCCTTTGACGAAAGTGTCTTAGGATCTGCAGGCGCCGATCGACGGGTYGCCGTGTGGGACTTGAGTCGCACCGGGAGAGAGCAATCGCCAGAAGACGCCGAGGACGGTCCGCCAGAGCTGTTGTTCGTGCATGGAGGTCACACTGCCAAGGTATCCGATTTCAGTTGGAATGCTCAACACCCATGGGTAGTTGCCTCTGTATCAGAAGACAACGTCTTGCAGGTTTGGCAGATGGCGGAAGAATTGTATGTCGATGACGACGAGGAGGAAGAAACTGAAGAGGACCGAAAAAATGATAAAACGCTGGGGGACGACGATTTGGAGTAAGGAACMAACTGTATTCAAACAAAGAACTATTAGGACATAGATATSTTTTCAACATCAGGTATTCACATTTCATTAGTACAATGCAGTTCTTCTTTGAAAACATAAATCTATAGCTGTCATGTGTTGCTAATGGTAGTTCAGTACATTTCTTCATATTTTCCGAGAAAACCATGCGATGTTACTGAAATTCAAGATCGTTGTTACTGCCTTCTACATCGTCATCAGCGTCGTCACCAGTATCTATCGTATCTAAGGCGGATGAATCGTCGATTGATTCCTCGTCTTCGCCCTCGACAGTAACCAAAGAAACTGTATCTTCTAGAAGCCGACGCATTTTATCAAGATCCGTAGCGTTCAACACTTCTTCTTCCCCGTCCTCATCGTCGTCGTCGTCGTCGTCGTCGGACAATGGTGTCTTTAATCGAGGGACATCAACTTCGACCGCTTTGGCATCAATGAACTCAAAACCCAGTTCAGTAGCCAGAGATTCCATTTTAGTAGCATCCTCGGACTTCACTATGGAATAAACTTGACCTCCTGTTCCACGTTTGCTACCGGTTTGTCCGACACGCCCAACGCGACCAGCTAAATGAATATATTCACGAGGATCTTCTGTGGGAAGGTAGAGAGTGTAAACGTGCGTTACTTGAGGAAAATCCAAACCACGGACTGAGTTTGGAGTTGCCAGCATAACAGTTGTGTCGTTGTCTCTAAATTGCTCCATCATCGTCAGTGGATTGACACCCGTTTTGGGCAATAGGACGCAAAGTCTGTGTTCTCCCCATAATGCGTCCCTCAAGGGGGCAATTGCAGCTTTCGCCGAAGGCTCGTCTGGGAAGAATACCACAACGCGGGGTGATGGTCCTTTCTTTATTCGTTTCAATTTATCATAATCTTCTAATTCTTTGCGCAGTAGACGGGTCAGGACGAGAAGTCCGCTTGCGTTGTCTTCAACCAAAACTCTGTGATGAGTCAAGCCAGGATTCAGACAAACATTGAGATCTTTAAGTGATGCTTTCTTCGGTTGGTCTCCGACGGCTAAATTTGCATCGACATCGCCACTTCCATCGTCGAGGGATTCACCTTCTATGCGGTGGTTCTCAAACGCGGTAGCAATGTAACTTTTGCCTTCGGGCAATATTCGTGACTTTACGGCAAGGTTTCCCAAGGATTCCGTGACACTTGCGCCAGCCATGAAGGTCAGACGTTTTGTCAAGTCGCGGTCTTCGTATGGGACATAATCTCCATCGTCTTCTCCTTCGCCCGTCGCCGACAACGAACGGCTTTTCGTATCGAACAATGTTTTTAAATCATCAGGAGCCATTATTTCCAAGGCCAAATCCGCTTCATCGAATACCACAACCTTGAGGGAAGACGGTTTCACATCACCATCGGCCATAACTTTGCCAACATATTTTGGCATGACAATTGCTACGTCTGTCTGGAGTTTCAATCCAAAGCTGGCTTCTTCATCATCCAATATACACCCTACACGAATGCCCTTGGGTCCCTTGTACTTAAACATATTTGCCTTACCTTTAATTTCCGTGGGGTCCTTYTTTACGGATCCGCCCACCAACTCGTAAAGCAGCATTGCTATCTGGAGTCCGAGTTCTCGCRTCGGAACCACGATGAGTGCCAAAGGGCTCTTGACATCTACGTTGGCACCCGATTTTCCCAGGCTCGGATTTGGATTTGAAGCTCCAATTGCAATCGCTCCACCAGGACGCAGCTGCCGCCTGGCATTACTGTTGATTGCGGGAGATGTTACAATAGAAATGCGTTCGACCAGGTCACCCGAAACGTCACCGACCGACTCTTCGGCTCCCACGCGGATCCTTTGTCGAGCAAACAGTGAATCACTCAGAGTAGAGAGAAGTGGCACCAAGAATGCCAAGGTTTTCCCACTACCGGTGGAGCCACTAATAACAATTCCCATGTCTTTTCCAGAGGCTTCTAACTTTTCTTCCATTGACATATCGTCGTCGTCATCTTCGTCGTCGTCATCGGTCTCGTCRGCACCACTTTTTTCTGAGAGTATCTTGTTAACAGCCGCCATTGTATTGATTTGAATAGTAGTGGGAAGAGTGTAATTGAGTGCATCCAATCGATCGACGAGCCACGGCGAAGCTCCTTGTCCTCTCCATGACATGCGCCTTTTTTTGGCTCTTTTCTCTTCTGGTGACATGTCACCAAGAGCAACCTCGTCGCTATAAAGGCGCCGAAAGAGTTCGTCCGAGAATGATGCGGCCTCCATAAAGTCTTCCTTGGAGACGGCTTCGCGCAAAAGGGTTTCCAGCTCGTTGAGGCCAAAATTCGGAAGCTCTTCGGCGTGGCCATTCCCTGATTGGTGGAGGCACGACGAAGAGGAACGATATCTTTCGAATCGGYGTCCTGTGACGAAAGCGGAAGGATGACGGAAGGGGGCGACGAGCCTCTTTTGTGGAGTAACGTAGGCCAGACAAGTCACTGATTTTGTCGCCATATCAAGCCATACCAGAGCCGTCGCTACAAAAAAAGAAGACATTAGATAGGAATGCACCAAAGGYGATACTACTGYCATRATGTAGTGTTGTGAAGTCTTCTCGTCTGYTAGTCTCGCTGGTATGTTTCTCGAATGGAATGTTCGTGAAAAGTATCGATTGGAAGAGAAGGTACCGGGCAAGAAATCGGATCACCGTGCCGATGGTTAGTTTTTCGCGATTGACTAATCGTACCGATKCAATTCTGATGGGTTTTCGATKCTCTTCCGTTACAAGAGAGATGCTATCTCACCAAGATGAAACAGATAACAAATCATGGGAGAAAAGGGTATTTGTATTTTTTGAAGAGGGACGAAAGAATTCCATTTTGTCGCCACGTGGAAACTGCAGGAGTAAAGTAWTACTGTACTGTGGTATGTACAGACCAGACCACAAAAGCTTGTGACACGAACAACTGAAAAAAAAAAAAATCTTAAATTTATGTTTAACCTCGTGAACTAGAAGAGGCACTAGGATGGCCAGAACCATAGTTTTCGTTAGAAAGTTCGTTAGAAAGAATGCTTCTAGCTGAACAATTTACTATACGATATCATCATCAAAATTAATACTGCTCTCTACCTTGCTCATGGTAGCTGTAGCAGATGTAACAAAAATGTTTTGTTCTTCCTGCTTACCTCAGAACRTAATTGAATTACTAGTAAATCGACTGGTAGCAACGGAAGAGACCTTGCAATCAAAATAACCAATAGCTATATCCTGCAGAAGATTGGTGCGTGAAATGGCTTACTGTCATGTTTATGTCAWAGTTATTATTGTACCGTCATGAATATAGACAGTTTTTGTGGCAGGGAAAAAATCTGATGACAGCGAGGACACTTATTTTTTATTTGCTCTCGAATTTGCAAGTTGTTCTTTAGAGTTCAAACTATATATGTTTGAGCTCTCTATAGACTCCATAATTAATTTGATTCTTCAATTCGTAAGCAACCAGGTTGAAAAGTGGCTCTTTAAATGTGCCACTTTTTGGTGTGTGGATACAGAGTCAGATTTCGCCGACAGTATGTGTTGGCACCGACTTGAGTAATTCGCTSGTTTTCCGAAAGTCGACGAATAGCAAGTCGAGGTGGACAAAAGCTGTTTCACAACACCAGTCTCCTTTCATTYTGAGGCTATGGCATCTTGGATCGCGTCTGGTAATTGACCTGYCCATCAATTCACGAGATAGAGAACGGGGGATATAGCGCCATGGTGAGAAGATGGATTACAACCACAATAATACCTAGCTTTGTAATGAAATTTGTTACAATCAGGAACAGGCTCCAGAGAAACGAAAATGAGCAACGAGAAGAAACCATTTTAGTTCCATCGAAGCTCAAATTCTRTGAAAAGCCTTTATAGGTTCAAGATTTTTTGACTAAAGTTCGTTCTTGCCCGGATAAACGGATTGGGAAGTGTGGAAGTAGATATTACGACCCAATTAGCTGGCCTGGCGTTCTTCGTTTCGTACGCGATGCGATGCAGTGTAGCACGTTTCAAATACTGGACACCTAGTAAAGTGTACCAAGTCGGAGGGCGAATTTTTCTTACCTTGCTTTCGTATTTCTTCGGTGCCTGGCTATGGATTTGCTTTGAGTCGTGAGGAACGATGGACGAAACGATCTCGCTCTTTAGCAATGCAGAGCATTTATTTGAATTTCGTAGCCATCAAGGATCAAGTAACGTGTTTTGATTCACTGTGTTGTCACCGAAAGCTTGCCCAGTGATTTGCAGACATCGCCTTCATCTAAACTGCTGGCCTTTCCACTGCTTGCCTTCTCGGTATTTTCATTCTCGTCTTTGTCTTCATCGTCGCTATCGTCTTCAGGCAACGGAGGCAGGTCTTCTTCGTCGTAGACAACCTCGATGTACAAAGTGCAAGATTCACAACCTGCTTCGTCGTCTCCGTCCCACAAGTCCTGCAAATAGATTTTGAAGCGGTCTCCACAAGGACACGGATACGAATACATCAGTGTCTCGGGATCGTACGTCATGTCCTCGATTTCGATTTCATCGTAAAGGGGCATGTTGGCTGACCTTTGTTTCTTTGGTGAGGGGAGTTGGGCTCTAAGAGCGACCAAAATATCCAACCCCACTCGTCTGGCGCAACAGTTGATGCACTTCCAGGGGAAGGTTAAATCGTTGCCACGACCGCATTGTAAAATAACTTTGGGMGAGTCGTTTTGCTTTTCTCTTTTTCCACTTGAGATTGAGGAACGAGASAAAAACCGTGTTTCGCACTCMGAAGTCGTGTTTGCGGAATTGCAAAAAAATGTAGAAAGGGATAGAACCCTTGGCCATGATAATTCCACGTGGAAGCRAAAGGGCGGACGTAAGCGCAAAAAGTAAGAAGTAATCATGAACGGCCAATGATTTGGCGGTCTGGCCGCATTTCACATGCCGGCAATGATGGTACTTGGTGCAAGAACCCCGAGCACCAGCCGCTGCGCCCTTCGWAMAGCACCGATGTAGCTGGCCCGTCACGTGCGGCTCAAATCAAACACTCTTACTTAACATGCATGCGGTGCACCACGGAGACATTGTAGTAGCCGATCATACGTTACCATTCTATGCAACACCCCACTGCACATAATTCCATTCCATCCTAYAACAACTTGAGAGAAACGAGAAAGAATCATGTCCGACGAAGATTATGCGATCGAATCCACCGATGCCGGTGCCTCCTTGACCATTCCTATGGAAGCCGGTCAAATCAAGAAGGGAGGGTGAGTTAATTGAGATTCGTCGCGAAAGGAAGAAACTTCCCGTGAGCGCAYTCCCAAAATTGTGCAGTGAAAATGCAACATTCCGTTGCCAGTCTATTGCGGAAGGTGCATGRGTGTAGCTYGAAAATGAGACAGATGTTTTTGCATTTTCTCACCACAGTATTTTGATGGACTTTATCYTCTCCTCACCATAGATACATGATGATCAAGGGAAAGCCATGCAAGGTTCTTTCGATCTCTGTTTCCAAGACCGGAAAGCACGGTCACGCCAAATGTAACTTCACCGCCACGGACATTTTCACCGGAAAGAAGCTCGAAGATATGATTCCTTCCACCCACGGAACCACTGTCCCTATCGTCAACCGTGCTGACTGGGAAATCATCGATATCGATGGCGATGAACTCACCCTCATGGACGAAGGCGGAAACCAAAAGACCGACCTCAACCTTCCCACCTACCCTGACAGCATGGCCGAAGACATCCGTACCGCATGGGCTGACGGTGAGAACACTGTCCAGGTCACTGTCCAGGGCGCCRTTGGGATCGAACAAGTCATTGCCTGGAAGAAGGTTGACAACTAAACATGGAAAGCATCGGCTTCTACCGCACGTGATGTTCTCTCGTCTTGTGCTACTTTATCAACCTTCGTGATAGAATTAGCAACATCACGTAGGGGACTTTCTCTTCCTTTTTAGCGTGTTGAGGGTTGGAAGGTATTCCAGCAATCTCGACTGTTGTAGGAATAATTTGTATCTGCTACTCAGTTTTTTATTGACCTAGATGGATTTCAATTATACATCACAATCATCTTCAGCCCGTTCGTTTTGTAGATTAGAYAGATGTCGCATCTAGCTTGCTATCTTTACCACTAACAAACACCGTTGCACCAATCACACCATGTATTACAATAAACGAAGATAGGATGAATCTTAAATAATTGGTAAAACGGTTGTGAAGGATCAAATTTCAATTGGATTCTATGACAGGCTGAAGTTGAAGAACGTAGTGGGGGAAGAATCGCCGGAGTTGCTGGTTTTAAAGTAGTCATTGAAGAATTGGTTTCTCTTTTATTCAATGTGTTTTATCATTCTTGTTTGCGCCGTAAAGCTTAAGAGTTTCATACTCGTCGGCTTGAGATAATTTTGTCGCAGCGACATCATGTTTGATTCGTCTCTCTTCTGCGTCGCTTTCAAGGAGAGCATCAAATGCTTCTTTCTCTCCGTCACTCATGAGATACGGTGAATATTCGGTGCCGGGAAACGTCTCGGATTCCACTTCGGCCTTGAATCGGCTCAAACCATCCTGAATCGCATGGCCTACTTGGGCATACTTTTTGCAAAATTTGGGGACGAATTGCTGGTGATGCGGGTGGCTCAGCATACCCAGCATGTCGTGGAAGACTAAGACCTGACCGGACGTATCTCCACCTGCTCCTATACCAATGGTTGGTATTTCTAATGTTTCGGTGATGGCGGCAGCTACGTTCGCRGGAACGCATTCTAGTACCACCGAAAAGCAACCAGCATCTTGTAGCCGAAGGGCGTCATCTAGCAATTGCCGAGCTCGCACCGCAGTTCGTCCCTGCGCGCGAAACCCCCCTATGACGCTGATAGCTTGTGGAGTSAGGCCAACATGTCCCATAACAGCCACTGTTGCGCACGTTATTTGAAAAGAGCCAAACAGTGTGCGAAGCAGCARATACGTGGAGACAACAACATGCGATGTGAATCTTTCGTTCTTGGGTTGTGATGAGACGACAACAAACGGAACATGCAGATTGATACAACAGCTTTAACTTGTCTTACCTCCACCGTCTACAATTTTTTGTGCTGTCTTGGCTCGATGAATGCTCCCTCCCTGGTGTTTCGTAAAARTAAACATGGACAGTTAGAAAAATCCAACAACTTTCAAGCCGTTTTGCTCATTACAATTTATTTAAATTGTGCATACTCGTACCTCGAGCTTTACAGCGTCACAYCCCGCTTCCTTGACGAACCTATATGCGTTTCGCAGAGCCACATCGGTATCCTCATATTCGTAAGTTCCAAACGGCATATCTCCCACCAGCATAGATCCCGAATCTGCCAGTTCTAGTCCTCTCTTCACAGATTGGCAATGGTGAATCATACTATCGATGGAAACATTTTGGGTCGTCTCATGACCAAGTTCTACCATTGCAACCGAATCCCCTACTAAAACCATGTCGATTCCCGCCCGCCCTACGTGGGCGGCAGACGGGAAATCATACGCTGTGACCATGGTGATCTTCTTCCCCTTTCTCTTTTTAGCGTTGAGCGAGAGGGCCGACACCTTGCTGGCGAAAGAACGCCGGCTGCACGCCGACATCATGCACGAGGCAGGTGTATCTCCATTATTTATCACTGTTATGTTCGAAGAGAGTGGCGCAAATCTCTCAAGAATCTTCTTAGTGAAATTTGAAGTTTTACAAAACATGGTAGATAATGTATCGAACAAAGCCGACAATTTTGCAGGATTGCTGATTAGAACCTTTCCGTTCCATAATTTACGCYRAAGAGAGTGCGTTATCCAATCGTCATTGACTTCCTGTAGTTGTCAGTTCCTACGGTACGAGCACAAAAGTACTCGTACTCGTAGTTGATAGTTGAAACAAGGGAAAAAATTGATCAATTGATGGATTCTTCGAAAAAGGAGACGGGTTTAAAAAATCCGCGCTTCCCTTAAAAAATCAACTTRGTGATAGAACGCATGATTCAATACTCTGTCGTGCCGGTGCGTACGTACTGGTACGAACCGGTACGAGTAAAAACTTCATGAACGCTTACAGTAGATTTTTTTTTCGACCTTCCGTACGTAGATTCATCAGCCCCAACATACCGGTACGGTCGGTGTCTGATTTGCGATTTGCAATTTGAGTACTGAATGAGGCTCAATATTTGWGTGATTTCAATGCTTCTTTTTGGCTCGTAGTAGTAGTATTAACCCAATCCAAGAATAATATAATGATGTTAGATGGTGAGTCATGTGGATAGCATTATACGAGCAGCAGCTTGAAGATCTATTCAAACAGAGCCTTCTTTTTTTCTGGCACCATTAAACAATTTCAATATAATAGTAGTACCTGTCAAGAATGTCATTTCTTGCAGCAGGCCATAAATGTACCAGCAGGAATAGGCAGGTTTTTTGCAGCTTGTAGCCAAGTTACATTCTCACTATCAACAATGCACTGCGTAGTGTATAGACTTTYCTCATTGTGGCAATGTCGATTTTATTACGATGGTGCCAATATAAACTCCCCAAAAACAATTTAATGTATTCATTTAATCAATGGTTGTGCTATTTTTACCCAGTATTCATATCTTCATTAGGACATCGACATCAATGCATCAACCAACCCAGCCTTTAACAAGGGTTTCCCATTATCGTCCTTGATAGAAACACCTTTAGATTGGATATAGGCTTTCAATACCTTCACCGTTTTTCGAGATGCAGCCGATTTCGACAAGCCGCTCAGATCTTCGACCTCGTCCTCGCTGTCATCTGCACTAGCGGATGTTTTTTGTCTCTTTCTTKCTTTGTTAAGAGTGGTCTTTCGTCGTTTTGGGGTTTGCTCGGCCTCACTATCTGAAGAAGTTGAAGAGGCCGGCACTGCTGGTGTGTTCGCAATTGCAATTTGGTTGCGATGGATTGTTCGGGAAGCAACTTCCTTATTGACAGCTGCTTTMATTGCRTTTTTGGCTGCCGGAGGATGTTTTTTGACAAATTGATCCACTTTGAACTTTCGTTTGCACCCGTTGTAATTCATGAATCGTATTTTCCCAAAAATTTCTCTTTCTTTCCATCCCATGTCGTGGTTGCCAAAAATGCTCCAAGCGACRCCACAAAAGCCATTGGGATCCCGTCCGTCTAAAGCGTACTTGTCGTTAAAGTATTGGGCGTATCGCAAGGCATCCGCAGGGGACGAGGTCCATTCCAGAATCTTTTTCGCCCAATACATGCGCAAAAATCCGTGCATCTTTCCCGTTCGGACGACTTGTAGCTGTGCTGCGTTCCACAAGTCGTCGTGGGTCTTTGCACGTTCAAATTCACGGAGGCTGTAGATATATTCCCTTGGATCGTGCCTGTGCAGCTCGAGCGAATCTTGCGCCCATTGYGCCCCGGCCTCYAGCGTGTCGTACGTGTCGGGTGCGTACCACAAAAAGTTGTCCGATAGTTCTCTCCGCACAAATCCTTCTTCCACGAAGGAAGCCTTGCCTTCGGCGTCGCGGTTGTGTCCTTTCARWATTCGCATGCAYGTTGCAAAGCTCAGATGACCGTGATTGAACCACGGACTCAAGCYCGAACAAACCAGGTCGTTGTTGGGGTCGTTTCGGAGCATTGAGAAATGGCGCAAACCSGTCKTTGTAAACGCCTCAAATTTCTTGATTCCGGCTTCGGTTCCTGGTTTCTCTCTCAGGACAGACTTCACGGAATCGTCCCACTCCAAAAATCGGACATGGGAGTCGTAGTCGAAGTCTTTGCTTGCTTCCTTTTCCATCGCCTTCGATAGATTCACGTGCTCGTTGCCAACAAAATCTGGAATCAGTCCTTTCTTATAGTCTTTGTTTTGCAAGCACTCATCTACCACTTTGTGGAGTTTCGATCGAAGGGTACGGGCACCAACTTCTCGCTTTGGGCTGGCATACCAGATCGGAACAACGTTGTGGGCGTCGACTTGGTAGAGTGGTACACCCATTGCGTCCAAGGCATCCCTAAATGAGGGCGATTCGTTCCATCGGCGTGGATTGCGTAGAACACTCGTGTCACAAACGACCACGGATGGTTTGTGCACGTTGACAAAYKTTTCCAGCACATATGCATTGCTTTCATCCTCTGGCGTTTCACTCGTATGGTGAACGACGTCAAAGGGGACGTTTTTCTGCTTCAATTCGTCGTGGACGCATTTCAGGCCTCCCAACAGAAACTTTCCGTGTCGTTCCGTGGTTCGCAACGACTCGAGCGGCGGCGGTGTGTCATCTTCGCTACTGGTTTCATCATCCTCGCCACCGGTGTCTGGCAACGGGGACGGTGACGCAAGCACGTGAACGACACGCAACGGCAAGCCCTTCTCTTGTGCTAGGTGCTGTGCCAACAGCAATCCCCAGTTGTCGACTGTCCGGACGTCTCGCTGCATCCAATAGACCACACAGTCGTCGYCCTTCCCCTTTGCTTTGCCATTGGAAACGGTTTCGGTCTCGGTCAAAACGCGGGTCCTCTGTGGCAACATCCAGGACGGTAGTTCGGACGACGGTACGGAGCGATCTCCRTCGAAAACGTACGGAAACGGCATGCTGATGCTGCTGACGGCTTTTTGACCCGGATTTGCGATTGTTGTCGGTGCTGATGCCTTTGACGTTGAATAGGCCTTTGTGGCGGAAGGGGAGAGCCGATGACTAGGGAAAATCTGGGGCGCAAAGGCACTTGACAGAGATGTGGTCGAAACCGCAGCGAACAACCAGCAATATGTTATCGATAGGCCGTAGTATCCCGGTAGGAACAGCGAGGACGCACGCGTGGTCTTGGTRGCAGTGGTTCGTGGTGTGAGTCGCTGGGACGTGGARGTATYTCTACCCTGGCTGGATAATCTTCTTGTTCCCTTTGTGTTGGTGATTGATTTCAATAGTAGACGCCTAAAGAATTCTGTTGGTGCAGCTTTTCCCATACTACAAATGACGACAATAAATTCTGCTTCACTCCTCTACTGTCACTAATGATATGTTTCCTTCCGTCTTCATTCGATGGAGACATCCGTTGTCATCCGAAGGACCACCCACTGGTTTGAAGCTTTGAACTGACATCACCCTGCTGCGATAGATGATGACTTCGATGGTGATGATTGAACAATGATCCTGATTCTGTTTCTTTTCATCGAAAACGAGTGAGTGAGTGAGTGAGTGAGTCACAGAGGGAACAAAAATCGTCACGTTTGAATTTTAGCGCTGATGTTGTAGAGAATGGAAAATATGGTCCATCCATCGTACAGTACGTACGTCTTTACAATAGAGTGGAAATACGAAGTTCAGGAATGACGGCTGCCGATTTTAGATTTGTTTGGATCCAAACCTAGTGTACCGTAGGGATAAGGATAAACTGTGGAAATAGAAATCAGAAATCCATCACACTTGGCTGGTTCGTAACGGAAAGGCTCGTAGAAATACGTACGGTACGGTACGATGAAATTCAGAAAAAATCTTTTCCGAAGCAGAAAACAATCATTACAGTACGTTCTATCCATCGGCTGACCATTAGGATGCGAAATGGGACCAGATACCAGGCGATAGTGTGGCGTCGTTCTCGTCCAATGCAGCACGCACTCACTTGCACTCCTCATTGCCAAAACCAGTTTTGCGGCTTCCGAGAAGTCCGACAGGATGAGAGACAAAAGTYCGTTTCCAGGTTCTATTTTTCCGTCYGAGCTCGGAACCGGGTCTTCCTACACCGGCAGCAACGTTTCTGTSAAGCTCGCAAAAGCCTTTGTGCAGCGAGACGGCTCTTCGGGAAACAGTGCSGGGATTGTCATTCTTCCTCGAACCGCTCCCGGCAGCAACGACCCCGAACACGGGTCCCGGAGCAAGCCGGGGTCGGAYGAATCGTTGTTTCCCTCTGACGGCGTCTGTCTTCGGGTTGCGAAACGCGTCGGCCTCCCCGAGACGAGCTTCGTTTTGTGTTCTACACCGGAWCTTGGTTGCCGGAGAGAYGGAGAGAAACAATCACAGCRCGACAATGGCAGGGCTGTCTCTCCAAATCTGTCTCGAGACAGACAGAAAGGACTATCTGGTTTTGGAAAGAACGACGAAGACGATGGTGCCGATTTCCAGGTGAAGTGGTACACACCAGAACAAGAGGTTGACATGTGCGGACACGCTACCATTGCTTTAGCGGGATATCTGTACACAATGATGGCGAAGGAGCAAAGACTCGTGGGTGCGAGGTGCGATCCGAGAGACGGTGCTTRCTTCTGGAGAATGAAATGCAAGGCTGGATTGCTCGGAATCGAGGTKTTCGAAGGTGCACACAATGAAAGTCATTCCGGCAGTGCAGTGTACAGCAAAAGGGGAACTAAAAYCGATGTGGAAGACACGATTCCTCTCTTGCGYGTTGTTATGGAACAGGCAAATCCAGAGTACTGTGGCARCATCGACCTCAACGAAATTGCGGTATCACTCGGCATCRAGGCAGATACCGATTTGGCAGTCACTGCTATCGATGGGAATGGTGAGAACCACGACAACAGCAGRCATAAAAGCGGTCTGGTCTTTCCATTTTCTCATTGCGAAATTGTTTCCACYGGCGGTCGTGACCTGATGATTCCGGTTCGTTCTGCTGTTTTGAACGAGATGGACATACTAGGAAATGATGAAAAAAACAATTCGGCACGCAGCTCTACGAGAAGCCTATTGCTGAGCGAAAACATCAACGCCATCTCCAGGTGCTATAACTTGGTGGGATACCATATGTTCGAGGTTGACGACAGATTGTTTCCACATAATTGTGTATTCAATGACGAAACCGGAGCTTCCCTCGGGACGAAACCTTTCAGAGACGCCAAAAATTACGAAGGAAACAACAGAGACAACGGTTCTYCCATACATTTGAACGARYTGATTCATATATTTCAAACTGCCAGACAAGAAGGAACAGACGGTATCGAACGCTGCTTAGAAGCTGTTCTTTTGGAGCATCCGCAGCAGCAAGTTTGGCACGAAGACGGCGAGACATACGATAGCGTTCGAGACGATGGGATCGGAAAGAAGGCGAGCAGCCACAAGAGCGTGTTACCTTTTGTGAGACACTCACGGATGATCGAGGTAACCGGAGTTCGGAACTTTGCACCGCATGTTGGARTCCCCGAAGAGCCCGCGACGGGGAGTGCCAATGGAGCACTTGCTTGTTACTTGGTTAAACACCTTTTTCTCGGGGCTCTTCGGTGCGGTGGTCACGAGGATCRCCATCAAAACATGACACYACTAGATACGTGCAATCCCATTTGGTTTCGGTTTTTGTTTGAACAAGGCAAAGCCATGGGAGAACCCTGTTTGGTCGACGCCGAAATCGAAGTCGTAGGTGGTGCCATCGGAACCGTGAAAGTTGGTGGACTCGCAAGAGTTKCCGGAGATACTTTAGAGTTGGATTTGAATTCTTTATGATAATGTGATCTCCACCAGAACCTTCGATGCACGTTCCGGAACATTGAGAAACAATTTCACCATCCAAGACACGTTAGATAGTTGGTCCTTTCGGTTTCAAAGGGGCACATGGCGCAGAATCGATCACCACAAAGATTGATGTTATTATTGTGTCCTTCCGACGAACTGGTCGTCATGGAGAGTGGCTTCATWYATGACTGCTTGTCAATGACTCTACAATAATTCTCGTGTCCGACTACACGCTCATCATTCTCKGCAGTCTCTACTTCAGGTCGAATCTGCGTTCGAATGTATTTTCAATCCAATGAAAAACAGAGCAGCACCAGCGAAAATTCGTTCCGACGCGAACAATCATTGGCTATTGGTYTGAAATGAAGAGAAAACTATTCGCTCGACGAGAAAAATTACTATTCTAGAAAATGTTCGATCTCATAAAGCATACAACGACTACTGCTACTATTTTACCCTTGTCTTTCTTTTCTGCCTACTCGTACCATGTGATGTTTCTTCATTGAAGCGAGGGAGCACAATGTAATAAAATCTTCAATTTTTGTTTCCTCTCATACAATGCAGAGATCTCTTCCGAGGGAAAACGACCGTGATCAACCCGCAGTATAAATCTGCGTTTCACATGTCAGAAACATCCGAGTGGTKTTGTTGTTACAGAACAAAGGGCCATCTCGGTTGCTTCGTCATTCTACGCGTTCCCGGGCGTATACAGATCTCCTACATCGTTGCGAGGTAAGCGTTGCGGATACTCCCATCCATTTCCGTCGTTGCTTCCTGCTATASACGACGCCGTTGTTCGACTCGAGGAAGTCCGTGCAGGGGAAGCTGTCGTCGAAAAGCGTGCCAACAAGAACGGACTCCGTATCGGTGCACATGGCGCATTTCGAATCCGTCCTCCTTTCTTGTTGCTGCTTTTGTCATTCCCAACCCCATGCAACCCATTCCTTCGTCTATTCGACAAAGCTACAACGGTCGTTGTTCCAGGAAAAGCAAACCACAGCGTCCCCGATCGTGCAGGATCGAACATCTTGTGTGCGGACCGTTCTACCTCTCGATGGCCGTCAAACCCGCTTTCGTTAACGGACCCAGCAGATCGTCGGCATTCGGCATCCGCCCCGTGGCCAGTTTGCTAAAGATCATTTGGTCTCCGTCCAACATGATCTCGAAAGCACCCGAGACAACGTATCCATTCAAGATAGTAGGGAGAATCAGGTAGAGCCCGATCATGATCGGCACGGCATTTTTCATCACTACCTCTTCGTACCAACGGGGGGTCTGCTGAAAGCCGAGTATCCGGAAGAAATTCTCCCCCATCATCGCGATCAGTATGGACATCAATTGGACCATGCTCAGAAGTTTCAGCAAGAGCTCGATCGTGGGGGGCGTGGGGTAATTCCCGCCGGAAACTTTCCCCCGGAGCTCYGGGAAGTTGAATTCCAACCATTCCCTCACCTGGAGAAAGTTTCGCTTTGACCCTCAGCTAACACAGAACTCGATGTGGATGGAGTGGTCGACGCGATCATCSATCGTCATGTCKCGTGGCTCCGAAACGTCCACCGCCGTCTGTTTGTTTKYATTCGATCGTATTCATTGGGACGCCAAAAAACGAAGGCGAGTTGCATCGTACGAATTGTCAAAAGTGGCAGAGAAAAAAGGKCAAATGAGCACAGATTGGCATGTTAACAACGATGGGCCTACAATCAWCRWACATGAAATACTCTTAACATCATCATGATCCGGAACAAGGTCAGCACATGGGTAGGGCMTTTTCCTCRTGGTGCGGTAGGGGTTGGGATTTCGTTGCTCACCTCGGCCATCGAAAATTGCATAACTCCTAGGCAGAAGGCAATCACCAGCGCAAGTGTAGTTGTGCGGGAAAATGTAAGCTTCATGGTTGCACCGTTTTGAATTCAACTTGAGTCAATGCAAATCAATGTTGACAAGCTGTGTTGTTGTCGTTTTTATAGAAGCTGTASTCGTACAACAAAGCAAGAATACTGCAAATAAATGTCGCGTCTGCACTTCTTGTTCACCTCGATTGAGATTAAACAGACAGATATTGCAGTGCCCGTTGTGGTGCAGCCACCGACATAAGTACGATACCGTACGGTACTCGTACTCGTTCTATTCTATTCTACCAGTACGAGTAATTATGATGCCGAGAAACTTGCTACTCGTACCGTKAGAAACGACAGACTTTTCGAAAACATTTACATAAACAAGGTTAAGGTTAAATATCGTGCTCCAGATTTTCGTAAGGGCTGACTCTTCGACTTTCCAACCATTATCTCGCTCGCTCTCTCAAAATCCCGCCTAGCCAGAACATCGACGGAACGCTTTTGATTTGAACCACAACAACTAACTCGTCCTTTCAATTCTAAGGCACAAGTTCAGGAACTGCCGCATCACAGATATCCACACGAAGTACGAGAAAGAAGGAAAAGACAAGATCCACACACACTAGCAGTCCCCCRAAACACCCAAGCGATGATTTCCCTTTCGAGCGCGACCCGGCGCGCTGTGGTGTCGTCGACGACGAGACGAAGCAGAACAACACTCGCGGGATCGGCGTTGTCGGGATCCCCCATCTTGTCCGCTACCCCTTCCGCGCAGTATCTWCGCCGGCCRGCAACCRCCGTGGGCAAGGCTAGCAAGAACAGGTCTCTCTCGTCGTCTTCCGCTCCACCTTCGTCCAAGCCGCCGACGGGTGCCTCCTCCTCGTCGTCTTCCGGCCCGAATTCSGGGGGCGGCAGCGAAACCCAAAAGACCGGGACCACGGAACTCKTCCCCAACATGTTGCTTGCGTCGGTCCTGGGTGGTTTCGTTGTCTCGGTCTTTTCGTACTCGATGAACGCGGTCGGCCGCGGAGACGGAGACGAGGACCCCCTGGCCCAGCTCAAGGCGGAGGCCCAGGAAGCACGAGACCACCGCGACGGCGCGGGGGTCGGTGGCCCCGGCGGACGGATGACGCCCGAGGAGATCGAGGCGCTCGAGAGCGGAATGGGGGCTTCCCTCGACGCGGACGGGGAACGAGTCGTGCTGGACGTGGCCGTGGCGGCTCCCGCCGACATTGCCGCGATCGAGGAGGAGGCGAACCTCAGGGTCTTTCGTCAAAAACAACAGCAGGGCGAAGAACCGAAGAAAAAGAAGCCCTGGTGGAGGTTTGGATTTTGATGGACACGGCACGGMACGGAACGGAACRCAGGTCGWATTAAATTGCACACATTATTATTCTGCGAACAGGAAATCTGTGTCTGTTTAGTAGATTGCTTGCTCTGTCGTTTCTGGATGGATAATTGATTACTAGTGGATACCAAATCCTGGAACCTACAAGGGATGTYAGTGTGGGACTATTGTATGAAAGTATGACATGCGTAGGTGGGAAGGACACRCATCCTGGTCCGATACCGAAGTACGTGTAAAATGGAGGAGACTCGCAGTGCTGTGTGCTGATCCAAAGTATAAGATGTGGTGCTTACCCTTACAACWACTCTAAAAGTGACGTCAAAACGCGACCCTTGTCTATCCCCAGCTTTTCCTGGACTTCCGTCATGGGTCTCTACAAAAATYCCKTGATTCTAGCCAATCTTTGTTGTGCTTCTATTTTTTTGTTGCGCATGTGTTTCCGTCCCACTACTTTGTATGTTTCAGTTCTCTAAACAATGGTTGTTCCTAATGATGGATAGCTATTACATTACTGCAAATTATTGTAGACACCAGCAATACCAATTATCTCTAAATCGTATCAACCGTTCCTGCCACCATTTTGTAGGAGAACCCGAAGCGGGTTGCGACGAGAAGCAACTATTGATTTTYATGTCTGCATCGCATCGCTTTGAATTCCACGATCGATGGTTCSCGTTTGGTTTGGATGCGTCTGGTTGCCTTCCGCATCCCTACCAGCACGMAGTGCGCACGCATGGATCTATCGGAGTCGCGGATCGTCTTCCTTGGCAAACTTGCACCAGCTCTGGGAAGGAATCTTCTTGTACGGGGCGATCGGTCGTCGTTCTCTCGAGGCGGACACCTTGAAGAGGCACGTCATGATCGTGGCAATCGCCAATCCTCCCATGGCGGTGTTGCGCTTCCACTGCGGRGGGTTCACCCACCATCCTCCGTAAGGCGTCCAGACCTGGAAGGCACCGGGCGTGGCGGTGTTGTGATAGTGTGTGTTGTGTGTTTGGGGGGGAGGGTGCGGAACACCAATCGCGATTGGTGAGTGTTTGTTTGCAGACACGGACAAGACGTTAGCAAAACATACAGCTCGTGGGTGGTGCGCATGGCGTGGTTCCTTTTGGATGGGGGATTTCGTCGACAGCACGAGCCGACGAAACACCCCATGGTTCTTCCGCGTTCGCAGTGCTTAGAGCCCGTTGCGGATGCCAACCTCMAGGTGATCAAACCGAGCTTACCTTGGGGACGTAAAACCATCCGCCACCTCCCATTGTAGATGATTTTCTTTGAAACTAATTTGGMGTATCTTCACAACAACAGTTCGAGCTGATGTTCCGAAGGTTGTGTCGATGCTGATGGGTCTCGTACCCCTACTCGTAACATGCTGTGTCGTACCGAACGGTACTGGTAAGCTACGGTTGCGGTACGGTAGGGTAGGTAACTTCACCTATTTTGCCGTTGCTGTTAATGTTGCTGCTAATGTCGTAAAAGTATCGCACCATGCCGCACGATACCCTACGTCCCTGTGATGCACGGTAAGTACGGTACTGAACTCACAACATTGTACGTACCATAGTACGTACTCAGTCAGGTCGCAAAGGAAGTTGGCAAAGAAGTCAGGTTCGCCGTTACGGCACTCGAAGCGAACAGTCAGTCCGCCTACCGTTTTCGTCCAGGACCAAATCATATGCATAGTATGTACAATACTTACATACATAGGCATATCAACATGGTCGATACATACCGCGTTGCCACGCCGTAGTAAAAGCTAATGAAGAGCCACTTTGCAAGCGAGGTCCTTCGTGCTGTAGTACAAGTACTTCGTACTCGTGCTCGTACCGGTACAAGTACGGTCCTGTCCGTACAAACCGAAAGAGGCAGTGGTAGCCATAAAGGGACATCCGAACATTGGACGCAGCGCATCTCAAAATCAACCGATGATTAGCCGTCAATAATCCCAATCGATCTATCGTTTACTACTGTTTCGTACARCAGTGTATTGTACTACTAGACCGTAAAGGATAGTGATTGCTGCTTCTCTCATTCGAAGTTGACATTACCAACATTGGATTGAACGTGTTGCATTGTCTCTTGTCGGCATCACCTCTGGACAGRAAAAATTTAGTCCAGCCCGAATCGAATCGAATCCAATCCAATCCAATCCAATCGTATTGAATCCAACCACACCAAACCCGCTGGTTGCCAAGACTTAGATTTCTAGCAGCAGTACGATGAACGGCGGAGCGTCGTCGTTCGGCCAACCGAACCGAACCAATTACCGGCGACAGCAGGTGTCCGAYGACGTGACCATGACAGACAGTAACGCCGCGGGGGACGAGAGAAGCCGGTACTGGAGGGACGACTTTCGTCCCCTGCGCGACGCCGGAAAGAACGTCTTGCGGATGCTCCGCCGGGACGAAACGAGCGCCCACGGGGATCTCTACCGCCGAATCATGTCCCAGAACCCGAGGGGCTCCCGCATTGCGGGCCTCGGGAACCGCTCCGGSAACGGCGCGTCCGATACCGGGCGATCGCCGACGATCCGCGAGGTCGGCGACGCCGAGGCAAACCCGGCCCACCGATACTTTGCCGGCGACGACGGTTCGAACCCGATCGCAGGCAGYGATGCTTCTTCGGGCCCCGAAAGCGTGCAGATTGCCGGGCCCTTCAAGCACAGCCAAACGATTCCCCTGCCACCCTATCTCCAGGAGGTGCGGTCGAAAGCAAAGGTTTCCATCCTGATGGGATTGTTTCCGGATGCGGAGCTGGCCTGGATGACCACCGACGACACCGTCTATCTGTGGACCTACCACCAGAACAGTGCCAACACCAACGGAATCCGAAGTGCCGGTGGCGGCGAAAACCAGTTCCTGGAGTTTCGGGTGCCGAGCCGCCAGCCGATTGTCAGTGTTGGCCTGGCTCCTCCGAAAAAAGGTGCGTTGCAATGCGTGGATGCGTTTGTTGACTGTGAGCCGGGGTTGTTGGAACGAGCATTGTCTTTGTTGCGACGCGTGAAYCACGGTGTGTCCAGGCACGAAATKACTCCGATGCAGGGCTCTGATTTGGTGTTTCTTTTGCAAATTTCCTGCTCTTGAACTGCTATGAACCGATTGTCTTGTCACGGCGACTGTCGATGCCACYATTCGTCTCCTCGATCCACCCGACAATCCTAGGCGTCTTTCGAGAAGTGGTAGAATGGTGTTTGGTCGTAACAACAAAAGAAGAAGCAATGATTTGCGCCATCGCAAAGGCGAGCGCAACCATAGAAGACCCGCGCAACGGAACTTCTTCKTCGTCCTCACCGTGGACAGTGGTTCCGACCAAATTCATCGTGCCGTCCGATTGGATTTCCTTTCTGTGCGTTGCGTCTACCAAAAACGGAAGAATCTTTTTGGGAGGCCAAGACGGAAACGTCTACGAATTGGATTACGATCTGCTCGTCAAGAGACACCAGCAGCAATCTCAGGCCCAGCGATCGGGTGATGGCACCGGATCCGTTCAGGAACGGCTCGATCGTTTCTACGACGGAAGCGACGAWACCGGGTCTTCCTCGACCGAGTGTCCGGGCGTGCTGGTAGACAAGTCGCTGCCCGCCAACACAAGCACCGTAGAACGAGTCTATCGAAACGGAAAACGAGTCCTCGAAATCGTCACCGGTAGCGAYACACAGCGGCAGTACCAGCGACAGCCACCCCGGAAATGCCGCAAGCTCAACCATTCCCAAAACGGAATCCTTCGCCACCTGCTTCCCGATTTCTTGAACAAGGTCGGTACCGCCCTGATTTCCGGAGCGGGATTTGATTCGTTTTCTACAACGGCGGGGGGTGCCATCACGCAAATGGTAGTGGACGACGAACGCCAGGTCTTGTACACCCTGTCGAGTCCGAAGGGATGGATCTGCGCAATGGACTTGTCCCMGTCTCCCGCTACCACCGATGGTGCCACGGGATCGCCGTCTCCTCCCGYCCCGTCCCTAGCGGCAGTCCTCGATGCACCCGCGACCGCGCGCTTGTATCTAGAGGCCGTCAGCAGGGGTCGGATGAACCCGCCGCACACTTCCGGATCGAACCAGGGCATCCTACATTTTTTGGGAAGTGGCGAGGCCGCCCAAGCCGGAGTTGGTGGAATGGACGGTGCCAGGCGAGTTCTCAAGCTCGTGGAGCAGGCAAAGCTGCSGTCGAACAACCGAGGTCGTGGCGGCGGTAGCAGTGGCCGAAGGGCCGGTCGTGGCAGTGGCAACGGCATCAACATGCTGACACCGGTTTCGATTCGGGTCGTTCCGAACCGCGAAAGTACCCGCATCACACTGGTGGCCGTCACCTCGGGCGGAATGAGATACTACCTGACGACGCTGAATCCCAAAACGATGGGGGTCGGTCCCACCACTGCTTACGATCGAAAGCCCCGGCACAGCAATCCGTGGAAGCCGTACAGCCGATTCACGCTGTGCCACGTCAAGGCGCCACCACCGGTGGTTGCCGAGGACCATTACTACCAGAACGGGGGAAGCAGAAGCAGCGGTGGTGTCTCTGCCTCTGCAAATGCGTCGGGACCTTCGTCGACGCCAAAGTTTCCTCCGAGCGGGGCTGCCCCCACGGTATCTCGTCTGTTGCGAGTCGACGCATCCTGTTACCTSAACGGCTCGTTTCTCGTGGCCTTTCAACCMATGGGATCCATCGACACSAACAYCGGTGGCGGAGCCGGCTCTGCCCCTACGTTCGATGCTCGAAACGATGTCCTGATCGCAACCACTCCCGATTCGGCCAAGAGACTGACCGTGAAATACATTAGAGAGGAAAACAACACGATCGAAAGCTCCCGTCATGCCCCGGGGGGTATTTGCGAGATTGTGTCGCGGCATCTTTCCAAATCAAAARGAGTTGTCGGAGGTCGTGTTTGGGATATCGAGCCGGCGTCTTGCGCCCGGGGTAGGGTTTTGTATCTCGCACTCCATTCCAAGACACCAACCGATGCCGAYCTGGGTGTGGGGATGGTTCCCGTATACATCACAAAGTCGAGCAACACAAGCAGGAACTCGTCTTCGAAGACCACAAATGGAAMCATCGTTCCTGCTTCGAGTGGGTCCCTGTCTTCGGCGGGCTTCAAGGTGTTTACGAACATGCTGCTGGGCAGACCCGCGGAATACGGCCTCGAGGTTCAGAAACCATTGGTGAAGKCTCTGCAAAAGAGTCCCTCGTATCGGATTTCGAAGCGCAGCGGCAGCGACGGCTTTTCCTTCACGGCAGCAGACATGTCCCCTCAGTCAAAGTCGAATTCCATTTCTCGTTCGGCACGATTGAGCCCGTGGTTGCTGCGACCCGACGTGGTGCCGCTGGATCCGCTGGCGCTTCAGCACCTGGAACGACACGAATCCACGTTCTTGGCGTTGAACAGTGGAGGCATCCATTCCTACCAATCTACCTCTCTCCTGGGAAAGCTGTCCGAACTTATTCTAGCAGCCGGGATGAACGTTCGCACGGATACGAAAGTTACGGCTTTTTTCGAGAGCTATGGATACGACGAAGGGTGTGCCATGTGTCTCATGCTGGCGATCCAAAAGGGCGCGAGCCACGATCTCAGAGAGTGGGCCATTCGGGCAGCAATGCAACGGGCCTACCGTGCGCAACTTACCCCKTCCATCAACAGTTCCCAGTTGAACATCCAGCAGTCCCAGCCATCAAACGACGAGTCATGGGTCCCCAGCGGGTACAGCTTTGAGTCATCCGCGCTTTGYAGAGGCTTGTRCTTGTCCCTAGCCCGACTCCTGAGGCCCATGTGGTACAAACCAGCCGTTGTTGTGACCGAAGGGAGGGTTGTAAAGCGAGGATCGGTGTCGRTCACTACGCCCACAAAGGTCGAGTTGCTCTTGGACGATGACATCCTTCAAGAAATCAACCAGCCGCTCAAAGCTTTGGAAGAAGTGGTTGCCACGGTCTTTAGGAAGTCAATCGATTCCGTTCCCGTAAAAGGCGTCAATACYTCGGCAGTGTTATCCATCGCAGAAGCCGAAGAATTGGCCCAGCACATCGAAGAGCGMAATATCCACTCCGTCTACCGGTTACTGACCCGAACCACTCAGCTGCTCAGCCTCTTATCCTGCCTGCGACGTGCTCACTCCATGCCTGATCTACCGGAAGTGGAATGGGGTCTCCTCCATGGGATCACCGTGTCTCAGCTCGTGGAAACAAGCCACGGACAAGAACGTATAGAGAATCTGTTGAACAAACTGGTGACGTCTGGGTTGGAAAACATGGCGATGGCGTCCGCGGATGCCAACCATCTCGCCAACATGCTCTCGCAGCAATGCTATCACTATTTTTCACCYGGCAATCGATACTCGTACCTGGGCTTTCAAATGGCAAAAGAAGCGCTCGCACTGCCTCCCGGTCAGGCGAGACGCGCCGTACGTGCGAACGAGGCCGCTTTGCACCTCAAGGAAGCCGCGAAGAATTGGTTCAGCCCATCTCTGATCACCGGTCGTGTTCTTCAAACGAGAGAGTCGGAAGGATATCTAGAGATTGCCGAACGTGCCATCAAATACAACAGYCCTCTGGCCAGAGCAGCGTCGCTGCTGGTAGACCTCGAAGATGTTGAGGGGCTGGTCGCCGTTTGTTTGATCACGGCAACAAATTTTAGAGTCAAAGGCGGCAACAATGGCGGGTACGAAGCAAGTGATGCAGGGGGATTCTATTCGTGGGAGAATGGCTTATATCACAAAAAGCCCGAAGCACCAGCTGGAAGTGGTCCGAACGGTTCTTCTGGGAAAGCGATGGTACTCGGGACGAACGTCACGTCACCGGACGCMATCGATACATGCTACTCGCTTATCTTTTACTATTTGTCGAAATTTCTCCAATCCTTCRACGAAAGGGAGAAGTTCTTGGGAGACAAAATGGTATCGGTTTGTTCTTTTATAGATTCCGACAAGGCTTTTCTAAACGCATTTTTCGATCACATGCTCAACAACAATCACAAGGATGTGCTTTTGCGCGTCACCAGTCCYGACCTTGARAAATGGCTAACACTCCAACAACACGACCACCCCGACCTTCTAATGAATTACTATCAAATCCAAGAAAAAGGATTTGAAGCTGGACAAGTTGCCATGAGTCGTGCGAAGGAAGGAAATCAGACCATGACACTTCAAAATCGCACGGAATATCTGGAAATTGCTWTTGTTGCGTTTTCCGGTGCACTGCAGCGCAATCCGATGAATTACAGTGAAATCGAACGCAGGCAGAAGGAGGCCGAAGAACTCTTGAGTATTGCAAAACTGCAATCCCGTATTCTTAAATCCATTGATTCCACCATTTATGAAATCGATGAACAGGATACGAAAGAACTTGAATACTCTCTCTTATCTGCCAGCGATCTCTATAACAGATTTGCAAACGCATACGATATGCACGAGATTTGCTTGCTGTTAATACATGCCTGCCAGTTTCCAAATCCCGATGTTATCAAAGAGTCTTGGAAAAGATTGTTGTGTTCCGAGATTTTCCCTTGCTCCACGCGAAATAACGACGTTTTCCAGAGCTTGGAGATTTTCCGTGAAGGATTCGTCACTGAGATGCAAGGACTAGCTTTGCTCGACACCGAGAGCTCAGGAGAGCATCCAGTATTTGAGAATGGATCATGGATAAGCAACGTAGAAGAAATAGTTGTACGTCTGGGAAGACAAATCGTAGGCAATGGTGCCGATTTTGTTTTYCCAGTTGAGTTCCTGGGTGGGTGTCTAGAAGGTAAGCCTTGTAAACCAAGTCGATGAAAAGTAGCTAATTCTCTTTTCTGTTTCAAGAACGWKATCGGCAACTAATTTGTGAATCTAATATTGATCTTCCTGTGGTTTGACTTTTATCAGAGCTTCGTCGTATCAACGAATTGGCAACTGTGACAAACGAAAGCACCCCAAATCAAGAGTGGACCTTTTCTGTTCTGATAAGCGTCGGGGTACCCTTCCGCGTGGCTTTTGACACGCTCTATAAAATTATCGAAAACGAGAATCGTGGGTCTACGGGTGCCCTTGACTCGAGTACACATCTTACAAATCTTGAAGCCTTGGTTTCAATGTTGGAGTCGTTTATTAGGGACCTTAGAGACGGTCGCCTTCAAGAGCAGAATGTAAATCGTCTTGACTTGACCTCGGCCGTGGAGCGAGTCAAGATGCAACTGCAGTCAGTTCCTGAAAATATTGCTGCTGTCGAGAACCGCATTTCTGTCGTGGAGCATGATATTTCTCGCCTTGCTCCATGAGCGATGAGAAACGGCGGATAACAAACATAKCCTAATTTTAGCTACTAAAATATAAAACGATTTGATAAGCTCTCAGTCGTCTCCTTTACCGGCTACGAACCTCAGTTTCATACGGTGAAAGCAGTGAACTATTTGCACTATTGAATCGCAAGCCTTTRCTCTGATCCAATTCTGCCATTTGGAATAGGCGATAACTTTGTTGCAGCTAATGTATATTATGTTCCCGCGTTGGCAAGAAAGGTTGTCGATATACMTTACTGACATGGTGTATCGTGCGCATTTGGTGTGTCCGGACCATTCATAGCTTGTCATAATTTTTCTAACATCCTCTCCGCTCTCAAAACGTGTGCCGATGGGCCGCAGCTAGAAGGCCCAAGCCGGTAAATATTGTGGCATAGATGCAAAGCTCGCCAATTATTTGTGTTTCTGACATTTCGTATATTTTCTTGGGCCTCCATATTGTATTCGAAAACGAAGGAGATGACGTTATTGTTTCCAGGGGTTCTGGTTTCTCCGGAAGGGCATTGTTGACGTTCATGATTTGGAACTCGATGCTCGAATCTGGATTCAAATCGTTGGAATCCGGTTCRTCTTCTTTCCCCAAGTCGGTCCAGGTTCCCCGCAATCTGGGTTCGGTGCGTGCGACCTTGATTGCTTCCCATTCGACACGGAGCCATCCCCACATGGTTCTCCGTACGATTTCGCCAGAAGCAATAATGGGGTTCAAATACGCGGTTAGATCGCCCTCGAACGTTTCGCTCAGGACCCCAGCTCGGTTCAGATAGTGAGGCGGCAAAAAACTGAGCGTCCAACAAAACCTTAGCACAATGTTCGTCCCAAAGATGCCCCAATAAAGCCAAGACACGGAATAAATCCGGGTCTTTCGCAAACGGAACGACGTTGGTATCGACAGATTGACAGGGCGGTYGAAAACCTTCAGGTTGAGAGTCTTCCAGCTCGAAACATASAGTAGATTCCAGTCCATAAACACGTCCCACCAAATCTGATAGAGTGTTGCCGCAACAAATCCAGCCAACCACAGAGTAGAGTGCCCTGGGGATCGCATGTAAACACCGAAAATGCCCACTTCCGCGGCAATGAAATACTTCAAGGCATTTCCTAGATAGGGCCAGCGGCTTTTGTAYTCGTACGTCTGTCGCAGGTTCTGACAAAACCGATACCACAGGGGAGACATCATGCACATGGGCAAAATCATTGTGTGCAAAACCCAGTTGGACTCGAGTGGTAGGTCTGCGGCATCTAGATCGTACGATTGTTGCCACCACCCCTGCAACCCAGAAAGAAGATAAAAGGTGGTAAAAGCAATGTCCTGAAGTGGTCGGACGCTACTCGTGAGGATGTCTCCAATGAAACCGTCTCGAAAGGTAACRTGGTACAGAGGTGCACCAATGGTGTAGCCCAGAATTTTCCAWTGCGACTTTCGTTTGTGCAGGGGCACAATGAGTGCTAGGCAGAAGACGAAAAACAAGACCAGCGGAAACACCGGTGCCGCCACGCTGGCAACAAAGCGGAAMGTGTGCACCGATTCCATTCCGTCCACGTACCGCCCACCCTCGGCACTGCTGAGCGTGAACAGAAACAGAGTCACCAGAATGAAAGTGAGCGAATCCAAGGCGGCGTACGTGACGTTCATCGGGCAAGGCGGGTTGATGAGTTCGAACCGAGTTGGATCGGATTCGTTGCKGAGTTGGTCCTCAAATATCGAGTTATTATTGTCGTCGATCTCGGTACCTCCAGGTTTAGTCTCGTATAGTTCGTGGACTGCATTTGGTTGTTGATTGCTTTCTTCCTGGACAGTATTCTTCGCTGTTGGAAGGAGCTCTCCGTCGCTTTCTCCTTCGTTTTTCGAAGGAAAACTTCGTTCTTCGTCCTCAGAGGAGTCGTGGTCGTCTTGATGTTGCTGATTCAATGGACGGTACCTTCCCAGAGCAGACTCCGTAAAGTACACCCCCCGAATTTTTGACTCGTCGTGATCCACCGGCTGAAAGAGGAGGTATCCGGTCATTTTCTCCCCGACCGTGTTTTTCCAGAGCCAGAGCGACACCGCCAGTCCCCACAGCATCAAATTAAACTCTAGCAATGCCCGAAATATCCTAAAACACGGAGGATGCCTGCGAAAGGCGGTCCAAACGGCCAAGTGGTGATATTTCCTGTAAATTTCATTGCCCTTGTTGACATCATTTGGTGAGATCGATGTCGATTCGTCGTCCACCAAAAGCCACAGCGCTAGCAACAGTAGTAACAMCAAAAGAGTTTTCTTTCCGAGTTTGTTTTCGATCATGACTGCTTTTGATTTATCGACCGAGGTCGTTGCTCCCCCGTCGGCCTTCTGATTGTCGGGGCAAGAGAATGGGTTGTATTTCGGGTTTGGGATGGATTTGATTCRGAAGAACTTCTAGCTACTCAACGAAACTTTGGAATACACTTCCGKTTTACTCTGTGGTATGGGTTGGCTGCAGTTGCCGAGATAGGACCTATAGAACAACGTTCTCTAGAGTTGTAGACTACAGCATCCGGTGAGATGTTTGCCATGTCAATACAGTAAGAAAAGAAAAATAATGCGTCCTGTGCTTTGCACCGTAGCGATGAACAATGCCCTTTCGTGCCGTGCCCGTTTTCGAGTTTGGTGGCAGTTCTCAACGTTCAATTATTTTATTTATTGTGCGAACTTTATTTCGGTCATGAGTCAACATTTTAAGTCACGAGTTCTCGATTCGAACCCTTTAGTCATGGGAACAAGGKTCAGTCACGAGTGAGAATTTGAATTCTGAAGAAAAAAGAAAAAAGAATTCACGCTCACGTGAAACCGTGCCGACGTCAAAAGATCCTTCAACGAATAGTTGCATCACACAACAATGCCCAATGAAACAGTAACGACCACAACACCTGCGCATTCAAAGGATAGGTGTCCGTGCTCATATTCCATTCTCCCGAGAAAAAAGGAAGACCCCCAAGGAACATCTACGAAGTAATAAAATAAGAGTTATATGTTCGCCTCATCAAAAACGTCTTGCGCTTCACTCTCSTAGACGGCCATCGATTCCTTTCAACGTTTGACTYCGAGAATCCGATTCCATCCATAYACATTTCGAGAATTACGGTGCGGCAATCGAGTCTGGTCGAGTTTTCAAACGAAAAATGCCGGTTGCCACTGCGTCGTCGCCAGGTCTTTCTGCCCTTCAATCCATAGCAACGGTAGCGGGGGTTGTTG